GTTATGGACACACACATGAGAACCACAAATTACACCCAAATTCACGAGAGAAATAAATGTAGGTCATACAAATATTTCACCTGGCCCGGAATTCTAACCCGGGACCTCTTGCGTGGCAGTCCAACATGGTAATACAGCACATCCATAGAACGATTTTACTAAAAAAAAATAAATGGATCTTCAGAAGAACTTAAAATAAGGACTTAAGAGTAAGTCTTTAAAGAGATCACAATAATCAAGTTGTTTCGTATTAATGTTCCAAAATTTTGTCTTGAGAAAATTAATTATATAAGTACAATTTATTTTTCCTAAAACTGTTGAAAGAGAACTATTGTCTAAAAATATACCGCGTCTGCCATTTCGTTTGATCATCGAGTACATAACCAGAAATAGAGACGAAATGTCATTTAATTTGTTTGAAAACTATTCTGAAAAATCATTAGGGTGACAACTGTGCTCCGATTGGCCAGCCCAAATTCGAAACAATTGACGGGTGTCGTCAATTGTTTCACTTCAAATCGACGAGTTTAACTTGAGCTTTGCTATAATGGACGAAAATGGAAAGATTACATATTTTATATTTAATTAATGATGAAATTTGATTCCGTTTGTTTTATAATTCATGTTTTGTTGTTTTTCCCACACCATCGAATGGAACTGCCCCTCAGTGTTCGAGATATTATCTTTATTACAATAAACACAGAATATTTTTTATTACTACACACATCAAAAGTGTCTAGGGATCAAGTACGTTTAAGAGTATTGCTGCAATTAGGGTTAATTATATTAACTTTTTTGTATCGCTATTGATACTTTTTAGTGAGTTTTAACATTTAAATAAGGAATATTGTTTAAAATTCGATAATAAGAAGAAAATTGATTGTCAATGTGGTTTTGTATAAAAATGAGTTATAGCGTTTTGACAAAATCATTACAATATCTGCATCGGAACCGAAACAATTTACATTATTATGGAGAGACGACATCATTTAACCCGAGAAGTGATGATGCGAGCCATCGGAATGTTGGAAGCTGGTTCCAGGCAACGTGCTGTGGCTTTCACTCTTAACACTACACAGAGCGTCATAAGTCGCCTCTGGACGCGCTATCGCATGACGGGCAGCGTGGCCGAGCGACATGGAGGACGATCTCGCATCACGACTCGCAGACAGGACCGGTATATCCAAAATACTGCTCGACGGAATCGTACCATGACCGCCATGATGTTGGTTACGAGGCTCCACAGCTCCTCAGGCTTGCTAATAAGCGATGAAACAATCCGAAATCGTTTACGTGAAGTGGGTCTGCGATCCCGAAGGCCGCTCAGAGTTCCACCTATTGCACCCTGCAATCGCAGGACCCGTTTACGATGGGCTCGCGAACACAGAAACTGGGAGGAAGAAGACTGGCGCTATGTGTGCTTTTCGGATGAATCCCGCTTCGGTGTGAGACCGGATACAAGACGTACTCGAGTTTGGAGAACATCTGGACGTCATGAACGTTTGAGATATTGTCAGGAAGTTCATCCATATGGTGGGGGAACAATAATGATATGGGCCGGTATTTGGATCGGCGGAAGAACCGATCTCATTTGGATCAGGGGTAACCTCAATGCTCAAGTTTACGCAGAGAGGATTGTTTCAGATGTTATCATCCCTTTGCGAGGCCAGTTAGGTGATTCATTTCAACTAATGCATGACAACGCACGTCCACACACGGCTAGAGTCGTAACACGCATTCTTGCCGAAGCTCGTATCAACGTTCTGCCGTGGCCTGCTCAATCGCCAGACCTCAATCCAATTGAGCACGCATGGGATATGCTTCAAAGAAGAGCTGTGCCGAGTATGCATACCGTACATACTCTACAACAATATTTTGACTTGTTACAAAACACATGGGCGGCCATTCCTCAAAGTGATTTTGATGAACTCATCTTAAGCATGCCAAATCGCTGTAATTGTGTGATTCGTGTTAATGGTGGAAATACAGATTATTAATTTTCTTATCTTTACAATAAAAATGAGCAAAATCATCATTTTCGCCATTTTTTTGTCATTTAATTGACGCCGTTTATTTGAGTTTTTTCCCACAATTTGCAAAAACATCAATTTTAGTATATTTTAATTAAATATAGGGGTAAGCGGTTAAATAAAACATAAGCATTAAAGTAAGAAGTCGTCCTGGAAGACTGGATTTGGTAAATATTGCTTAAATAATTTTTATTTCAAAAATATTCACTTGATCCCTAGACACTTTTGATGTGTGTATTTGAGCTTTCTAATTTGTGATTTCAGCGCAAACGAGAATTGATATTTAAAAGTAATATAAAGCTCATTTGCCTGATAAGTTGCCAGGGATGGATGGCCCTTATTTCGTCTCAATTTCTGGTTATATACTCGATGAGTATGACACGTACATAGGGTAATACTTAATTTTTTCCGAATGTTCGATCTTTGTATTAATAATTATAACAAACTAAAGGAGTAATTTCATATAAAAATAATTGAATATCAATTCAATAAAAATTAAAATACAATGAATGGTGACATCTCTAGCCGGGTCTGGTAGCTGTAAAGGTATCTAATCGGGTGACGAAATATCATAGATTTCTCATAGATAGCGCTACGGCTAAAAAGTCGTTGAAAAAACCAAATACAAAAATACGACGAAAGAACATAGAAAAATTCGTGAGGTCCGCTAGTTTATTCCGTGGCTTTGTTGGTATAACGTCTGGCACGGTATGCTAGAAGACGTCGGTTCGAATCCTGCCGAAACGAAGAAATTTTTCCCAAATAATTTTTCAAAGTCAATTTATACGGAAAAACAGAGACGCATGCATTCCTTCAATTTTCTATAGAGGGCGTAATGCGTATCGGCCAGGGCCCATTGAAAACCAGCATCACAGCCTGTCTTGACTTTAACTGAATGGAATCCTTTTGCATACGCCACCGCCGCACACATGTCAATATAGTATTATGTAACTTGTTGTTATGCTGTTTTTTGTGTTATTTCTGTTGGTTTTCTTGTGCCTTTTTTATATGGTGGCGTTGCAATAAATGCTTTCTATTCTATTCTATTGAAATAGTATAACATTTAAGAGCTCTTCATTAAAGTGCTCGGTAAATACAAAATGTTTAATTCATTTTCTGTTTTTTTTTATAATACTAAGTGACGAGACGAGCAAGTCGTGCGCCTGGTGACAAGCGACACGCCTATCCATAACAGTTGCAGTGCCATTCGGAGCTTTAAATCGCAAAGATTTGAAGGCACTGCCACTGCGCTCGTCAGCCTGAGACATAAATTGACAAATCCCATGTACCTGTTCACATCTGTAAATTTTACAAATATAACCTAACCTCCGGTAAAAAAACCGACCTCAAAAGTCATTCATCCCCTAGGTTATTATATTATTATATATTATATTATATATTTTCTTGAAATTGAAATGGGACCAGATCTAAGGTACCTTCTTTCTAACAAAAAAGAATCAGCAAAATTAGTTCACAAATGGCGGAGTTATCGCGTAACATACATACAAAAAAACACAGACGAATTGAGAACCTTCTCCTTTTTTTGAAGTCGGTTAAAAAGATAAGTCACTGTTTCATTGGTGCGATATACTGTAGAGCAATGACGTCACTATTAAGCCTGTGCCGAGGCACCGATTCGTAATTGCGAAGTAATTGCGTTCGTTTGATCCCTTGCTGTATTGTCATTTCTAAAGCTTTAATTATAAGTGTAACAAACATACTTTACGTAGTAGACGGCCTTAAGCCAAAATGTTCACTTTTAGTTCACTAAGTATCCGCTAGATGGCATTGACCCATTTGGCGTTATTTCTGAAACGCGATGTTAAGATTTTTCCCTCGAATGGTCTCGAACACAATTTTGTTAATGGGAGAGAATTCTGAGTTGAGACCCTTCTTGGGAACTGCTATCCGGACCCTCTGATATTGCGTACGCTCATATGAGGTGAAATTCATCATCTCGCGGAACGGTTTACAGGAGTCGAGTCCCTTCTTGGGAACAACTGCCCGCACCTTCCGCATATAGGGTGAAATTGTATTGGCGTCATACGAGGTGAAAATAAACATCTTTCTTCGACAACTTGGAATTTTCACTTGGCTGAGGCTGCGTAACCTCATCCCACGGTAGAAAGATTTTACATAAGATATTTAAGGATTCACTCTATAAATCCATACACTTCAGAAACAGGATGTTTTTGTAGTTTCCTTGATAAAAAAAGTATAATCTTATGATAAAAACCAAATAAGTTTTTAAGGCTAGTGTACTTTAGAACTTATGAAGTATATCCCATGTTCCTTAATATGTACTCGACATCATCTTGTCCTACGAATGGTTGGCTATCATAAACTTGAAGCCCGAAAGAACTTGGCTCTTGTTATTTACGTCTTTAATAATAAAAATTATCGCGGCTTTCTGCTAAATTCTCCAATACTGAAAGCAATCGGAGTTCAAATTGTTTGTTTCCTTGAGCAAGCAACGGCAAACTCTCGCTCTGCTGCTGTGCAGGAGCTTGCACCGCTTACTGCTGCTTTAGGCGTTGTAAACAACATTTCGAAAGAAATTAATATCTTTTGTTATTCGATGCCAAAATTCGCAGAAGTTGTCCTTGACATTACATGTAAATAACTTTTATTTTTTTTAAAAACTGACGTCAAAAGTTTGCTTATTGACTTTTTACTAGAATTACGCCTATTTGCCAACTCTTGTTGAAATCGGTCAAAGGAAAGTACACGAAACTGGATTCATTCCCTAGATTCATTGAATCCATGGCCACGACCATTGTCCACCTCATTATCACTTTTCCTCAGGTGATATGGTGATTAAATGGTAATGGTGGTAATGCACACTTGTTTTTATCGTAAGAAAACTTATTGTTGTGGGAGTCAAAGTCAAGACCTTCAAAATAGAAGGTCTCTGTTTTCTGAACTAAAATGTCTTGTTATAAAAATATACAATATCGTATTTTTTCACAGGCTACAACACCTACACGTACAACGACACCGCCCACACTGCGCGTGAGTTCGACGAAATCCTCTCAGTGACATATGAAGACGGGAAATGGTCGAAACCGTACTACGATTGTGGTGGTGGCAACATTTGGATGTTAACCTACACCGTACCATTTTTTGGCTACAATAATGGGACATATTTCTTCAAGTGAGTGCATATTTTTTATATTATTCAAACTATCAGACATTTCTTTCAAGCGGGAGGCAAACGCCATTTCTATTATTTATTATCTATTATTTATGATATCTATGTAAGAAGCCGTATTTGCAATTTTATTATCTTATAAATACAGGTATTTTTTTAATATTTTTTTATAACATCTGCCTGATGGTAAGCTACAGGCCAGGGGGCCTTTTTTTTAACGGGGGGGACATGCTTTTTGCATACCCTCGAGCCCGGGGATGCCCGAGGATTATGTGGGACTGACACCAGTGGATACCTACCAAAGCCTCCCCGGCGCACCCTCTTGGCCGGATGTTGTGGGCATTCCTGCCAAGGTTCCCACGCTAGAGAGGGGAGGGTCGGACGCTTGACCCATACCCCAGACGGGTGAGACCGTGCAATGCGGGCAAGGGATCCCCGTGTCTTGTCCTCGCTGGCCTCACTGGGAAATTAGGCGAACAGCGAACTGCGTTCGCCTTCTGCCCCGCCGCCTACACCGGAGCGGGGAGCGTCGACTGCGTCTTCGCGTACCCGCTCCGCGGCCTCTTTTTGCGAGATGACCTCCTATACCAGGGTACGGCGTTGCGCACTCCAACGATCGCACACCTCTAAGGTGTGCTGCGCCGTGTCGTCCGCGTCGCCACACGTTGAGGTCTCCCTCCTGGCTACTTTATGCAAGTAGTGCCTTAAGCAGCCGTGCCCGGATAGTACCGGTAGCACAAGTCGATATGTTAAGTGTTGCCGGGCGGTAGGCCAGCGGAAGACGGCCAAGCGCGGTCGCTGCGCCAACCACTCTAAGAGCAAGTTGCAATGCGCCTAAAAATTCCATTTTCGGTCTAGGATATGATCTGAACCGTTTGCCCATCAATTGATATGCTGGCTCCAGCTGGAAGCCGCCATCCCCCACCACGCCCACCAAAGAATGTTGCCTCCGTCTTTGACAGGGCCACCTTGAGACCCAGCAATTTTATGCGGCGAACTATCATTGTGTATCATGTACTCTACTGAGGTAGTTAGTAAAATTTTAGTAGCAGTAGAGTTTCTTGTGAAAGAGTTTGTCCAGGGTAGTACTGACACCTTACCTATTTCTGCCACCAAACAGTAATGTCAGCTTTACTGTGTTCCGGTTTTGAAAGATAAGGGTGCTGATGAAATTATAGGCACTTATGTCTTGTCGACTTATGTCTCAGGGTGACAAACGCAGTGGCAGTGTTCCATAACGTTAAAACAATACTGTTATATTACAAAAGTTTGATTCACATGTTCCAACTGAAAGGGGATTATTTTATGCTTCAGTACGTATTTTTGTCTGTTTGCAACTAAGAGGGCGTACCAGTTTTTATCGAAACAATATTATTGTTTATAGCATGGGTATCGATTTCAGTTAGATTTCTTTTTCAATCAAAAGTGTACCTTTCCGTCATTGCTATTAGAGTGATTTTTGCTCTACTACTGTGAAGACAAAGGGAAGATTACGGTTTTAGTAGTGTATATATGTATACTCATCTGTTTCTATACAGAGAGTAAGGCATTATTGAATTGTCCTCGTGTAAGTTGCAGACCTCCTCACATATACTTCAAACATATTTACTTACCTTCTACTACGGCAAATTAATTCAGATCTTTTTGTGACAAAGTTACTCATTATGTTTACTTCCTCATATCCGATCAGATCTCAATATGACATTACAATAATTTAACTACTTCCGTGGTCAACGGTTACAACGCAGAGATCCCGAGTTCGACACCCGGGTCGAGAGAAATATTTGTATGGCCTACATTTATTTCTCTCATGAGTGTAGGTATAATTTATGGTTGACTATATGAGTATCCAGGGCACTCGCGATACCTAATGCTACACGCAAGACAGTCTGCAGACTATCCAACTCCTCACCTATTTACAATCAGAACAATCGTGGTTGGGCTATTCGAATTGGTTTCGATGAGTAGTTGGCTTACATATGGTGACTTTATTATCTTTTTAACCGGCTTCAAAAGGACGAGGTTTTCAATTCGACAGTTTTTTTATGTTACGCGATAACTCCGTGTGTAACAAAAATTTTTGATGGTTCTTTTTTTGTTGGAAAGAGGGTACCTCACTACTGGTCCCAATTAAATTTAAAGTAAATTTTCCACCCTTAAGGGTAGCGACTATGGGACCGACTCCAATAAAACTTGGCAAATAGATGTAATTCCACGATTTTTTGAGGTCAGTTTTTTTAGTACTCAGATTGTTGGTGAAAAATAATTCTATAACGAAACAGATTCAAAGAACTTGAAAATTTAATCCAACCACACTAATCGCACATTTTGGGGTGTATAATGTATGGTATTAAATATTACTGGAACACGCTGTTTTATGTCGGGAGTTTTTTTAATTTTTATATTGTTTTATTTTAATTCAAGAATGCAGAACTGTAAAATGTAGTCTTCCAATAACAAATGATAGGTAAGATTACACAGAACTTTCTGAAACGTTAGACCTTTGAAAAGGCTTTGTTGAAACTTTTTGATATAGGTATTTTTTGTCGTGACCATGTTTTTTAAAATAAAAATTATTAAAAAAATATTTAGACAATTTTTGAGCACTTTGAACGCGACACCATTTTAAACAATGATCGTTTACATCAACCTAACGATGGCATATAACTAACACCAAGGAATTTCCGATAAACACTGTTATATTCTTCCAGAACCATGTCTTTGTCACAGGCAAAATTAGAATACTTCGCATTTTTTTTAAAGTATATTTAAACGTGTTCCACTAGGTAACTTTGGCTTGACTGCAGAGCGAATCTGAAACCTGTCAACTCGTATAATAAATTGTTATTAAAACTTTATACTAAAGTTATTAACAGCTTCTGCGTACTTGTATGACAAAAATCCATGGTAGTGACCCGTTTAGCTCTTCCGGGTAGTTTAGATGTACTAAATATATACTACAAGATATCTAATAGAATTTAATTCGATTGAATATTTTAATAGTTCAAATTCCCTCAAGATATCTCGAAGATGGTTTCTAGATAATTTAAAGTAAAAGTGGGCACAACTTTATTAGTAGGTCACAAGAATGGTTTGAGAAACTATCTGTAGGTAGTGTTAAGAATGATTCTTATCTTTTTTCTCATGTAACCCTTCTAGAATGCTACAAGACCATTTGTAGAACGTAGACAGTTTTTATATAGTTTTATAGACAGTTTTTAGATAATTTCTAGTCTATGATAGTTTTCTTAGTAATGCTATTTTAAAACCAAAATAATAAAGCGTTTCAAACATAAGACGCAATTCTCTTAATACTAATAGATTTCAAGTTTAATAGCTTACAAAATATAAACTATCAAAAGTGCAACATGGCAAAATTAGATATAATATTTCTGACTTTTTCGCGTAATGTTTAATTGGTTAGAAAGCAAAAATTGACGTGCGACTTTAAATACATTGCGAAAAGTGATGTAAAACCTGCCATGAAATTAATGCACTCAATAAATTTGAAATATTTATGAATGAATCAAACCATTTCTAAGAAGTTCTAGGCTTCTTCAAGCAAATTTCAACTTAGAATTACTTTTTAAAAAGAAAAGAAATTTTTCTCCGCTACTTCATAGCTATTTTTAAAAAATAAAAATGGCGATAAGACTTTAAAGCTTTTTTCAAAACACTGTTGGGAGCATTTTGTCCATAGCTTTATCTATAGAAAAACTTTAGAATACGAAAAGATTATTTTTACTTGCCTTATGTAGTTGATCTTGTAAAAGAATATTCACTCCTATGAAGCTTTTATGATTGTCTACAAAACGCGATGTTTCTAAGCGATTTTTTCTTTTGACAGTATTACAAAACCTTTATAAAAGTTATAGGGAATAGTGAGCGTATTATGCAATAAAAAACTTTTCAAAACACACGGTGAAATAAAAAACAAGTAAAAAATCCAATTTGCCGCAAAGAAACGTTATTCTAGACTGTATGACTAGAAAGGTGGATAAATTCCCTATCATATAAATATAAGGAATATTTTAATGACATACCTAACTTATGTTGGAAGAAATAAAATTTTCATTATAAAATTGAGATTATTTCTTCACGCCAACCACATTTCATACAATGATTTCACTGTATTCTATTGATAGACGGCACAATACACATACACAATACACAACATTGAAGAACAGTAGTTTACGCGCTCATTTCAATTGTTTTTATCATTTCACAACACGGAATTACTCCACAATGTTTATTTATTTGTCAACAAACAAAGCCATGACCGGCTCGCGCGCGAATTACGACTATTGTATCCAGTGTTGCCAATTTGTGGAAAATTCCCCAAATTGTGGGAAATTTCAACTAGATTGAGGATTTTGTGGGGATTGGCGCTATGTGAGGAAAATGTGGGGATTCTAACGTTTTATCATTTTGTTTAATCTATCAATTGCTGGTGCATCGCTAGTTTGATCGTTACTGTTAGAAACACTGTGATGGACTACATCGACGTGTTTTTCAACATTGCACATCACTTGTATTATTAACAAGCAGCTTAAACAGAATTATTATTAGAGCACTTGGTTCTGAATTGTAAAATTACCAGTCGGTGCGTGTTGAGTTCGCGATTCTTTCTCCCGCTTAGGCCCGTCACCCGTATGAAACAAAACGAAATCAGCTATTGATAAACAAAGCCGAGCAGTTGGTACTTACATACCACAACTAACCACTCGTCAACTTTGAATATTAAATATAAGTAGATCGAAACTCGTTGATTATTTCTAACATTAACATCCAAATGCACAACAAATAATCGATTTACTTTATTTTGTAAGGCAAAGAAAAATGATTTTTTTTTTAAATTATTATTACATTTTGAGTTTCTTAATTCTTTATTATATATTTTTAAGCGATATGTTTCTAATAAATAATAAAAACTCTAGATGTGGGGAATTTGTGGGGAATATGAACTTTGCTCTTCCCAAGTTTGGGGATTTTAATCGTGATTA